AGGGCTGCAGCTGCCTCCTAGGTGTTTGCTGTCATGTCTTTTCTGGGGTACAGACGTCTGTTAACTTTTTTTTTTTTGAGACAGAGTCTCGCTTTGTGCCCAGGCTGGAGTGCAGTGGCACAATCTGGGCTCACTGCAGTCTTCGCCTCCCGGTTCAGGCGATTCTCCTGCCTCAGCCTCCTGAATAGCTGGGACAACAGGTGCATGCCACCACACCCAGCTAATTTTTGTATTTTTAGTAGAGATGGGGTTTCACCATGTTGGCTAGGATAGTCTCAATCTCTTGACCTCATGATCCGCCCTCCTCGGCCTCCCAAAGTTCTGGGATTACAGGCATGAGCCACCGTGCCTGGCTATCTGTTAACTTTATCCTTTTATCTTCTTTAGACTCTTATGGTCTGCAGAGGAGGAAGGGGAAGACTGAGGGTAGGAGCAGGGACAGAATGACAGAACAAGTCCTCGCTCCTGGCCTGTCACCACCAGTGGGTTTTGCTGTTGTCCTGCACAGTCACCTTCCAGCTGGTTTCAGCCTGTCCCTTCTGAATTAGGCGAATGCTCAGCCTGGGTCTTGCCACATGGATGATGGCAAGGAGAGAGGTGTGTTTGTTCTGTCACGTGAGCTGCACAAACAGCTCCCTCAGCATTTTTATTAATAATTCAGCCCTTAGCCAAGGGGGTGGGGGCGGGGGGGAAGGAACTGTGGGGAGACAGCAACAATGAAGACTGGGCCAGGTGGAGGCCAGAGGGGATCTCAGAGCCCTGCCTCCCAGCCGTGGCCTAGCAACAGAGCCAGGCAGCCTCAGGGGCCCTGTTGGGAAAGTGCAGGCCCAGCATCTGCTCCTGAGGGACAGAATGTCCCTCCCTGAAGCCGACCCAGGACTCCTGGCCCCGAGGATGGTGCCAGATCGGAAACTGGCCTGAAGGGCCAGCAGTGTGCATCAAGGCAGTCCTTGGGGAACCAGGTGCTGCCCACATTTCCTGCCACAACATGGAACCCAGGACAGGGGACCAGCAACAAAACTGAAGGAGAGGGCCTCTGGGCCTCCTCTTCTGGGGGCTGGAAGGGGAGAAACTGGATGCTCAGAGGCTCAGGCCCTCCCCAATGAGAGACAAGACCCAAGGGGAGGACAGGGGTGATTCACAGCCTCTGATCTTTTTCCTCAAATGAGGACGTGCTCACTCCTGCAGGCTCCATTTACTGCCTCTGCCCAGTTCTCCATGAGTACTCAGAAGACAGAATTGGGATTGGATTCTGGTGCTCAGGCTGGCAGGATCAAGGAGCTCAGCAGCTCCTAGAAACTCACAGTTGGCTTGGCTCTCATCGATGTTCCAGCAGGAGAGAGTAGCCTTCTAATGCAGCAGAATGGTTCGAGGTTAGACATCTGGAAGAACTTTCCTGACAGGCAAAACATGGGAATGGGGAGTATGCGGTGCCTCTGTTAAGGGTAAACAAATAGCAACAACAATAATAATGGCATTCAAAAAGTATAAAGAATAAATTATACTTATATAATAATAATGACATTCAAAAAGGATAAAGAATAAATTATAATGTTCCAAGGTTTTTTTTTTTTATTGCAGTCGTTCTTTTTTTGAGACAGAGTCTCGCTCTGTTACCCAGGCTGGAGTGCAGTGGCATGATCTTGGCTCACTGCAACTTCCACCTCCCAGGTTCAAGCAATTCTCCTGCCTCAGCCTCCTGAGTAGCTGGGATTACAGGTGTACGCCACCACGTCCAGCTAATTTTTGTGTTTTTTTATTTAGTAGAGATGGGGTTTCACCTTGTTACTCAGGCTGGTCTCAAACTCCTGACCTCAGGTGATCCACCCACCTCGGCCTCCCACAGTGCTGGGATTACAGGCGTGAGCCACCTCCCAGCCCCCTAAATATCATTTTAAGTGATTTGATTTTTTTCACCATGCTTAAACTTAACAATCGTCAAAAGAAATAGGTGTTATTGTTATCCCCATTGTACAGATGAGGAAACTGAGGCCCAGAGGTGTCTGGCCAGGGTAAACACAGCAATGAATGGCAGAGCCACATAAATTTGTATCCTTTCTTCTTTCCCATGACTCTGCATCCCCTAAACAAAGTGACTGAGGCCCAGAAAAAGGGCGTCTTCAAAGCTTTTTCTGTGTCACTGATACAGGCAGGAAATTTAAAAACCACTAAGATTCCCAATGCCCCAGAGCCTCATTTTGCACAGCTGTGTCTCTTGGCATTTCTCTTGCATGTCTGAGGAGCTGTCCAGCTCTGACGTCCTGGAACAATGTCTGTCCAATCCCTGTGAGGAGAGATTGAGACAGGGCTTTGTATTCTTTTAAGAAACAGGTTATAAGCCCTCGGATGGGAGCAAGCACTGGGTCTCCTCATGAATCCCACAGTGGTTAGCAAAGGGCTGGGAGTCTCAACCAAGGGTGACTCTTCCTCCAGGCTGCTGGCTCTGGGGCCTTTACTTCCCTGGGTCAGTTCCTTCTCCTCTGGAGGCCTTACCTTCATCATCTGATACTTGCAAGGGGCAGCCTGGGGCATCTCTCAGATGTCCTCTCTGTCAACTCTGAAAAACTCTAGATGCTTGATAAACCTGTTGAGTGGTGGTGATGAGGAATTCTGCTGTCCCCTTCTGGACTTTCAGATTGATGGAAGGATCTGGAGTGGGGAGATTCACTCCAGATGGGCACTCAGCAGGGAACCTCTCTCTGTGTGCCCATCTATGGTGGGGATGTGAGGGGTGCCCTCTTTCCTTTTTTTTTTTTTTTTTTTGAGACAGGTCTCGATCTGTTACCCAGGTTGGAGTGCAGTGGTGCAATCATGGTTCACTGCGGCTTTGACCTACTGGGTCCAAGCCATCGTCCCGTCCCAGCCTCCCAAGTAGCTGGGACCACAGATGCACATCACCACACTGGGCTATTTTTTTTTTTTCTTTGTAGATATGGGGCCTCACCATGTTGCAGGCTGGTCTCAACTCCTGGGCTCAATTGATCCTCCCACCTCAGCCTCCCAAAGTGCTGGGCTTATAACAGTGAGCTATAATTAAAGCCCATTCTTTACTAGGGCAATTAGAGAGGGAGCTGGAATGGGTGGGAGAAGGAACCAAAGTTGCAGACCCTGAAGTCCCAGCCTGTTGGCTTAGATTTCTGGGGCTTGCCAGGCCGCGAAGCAGGGTGTGGACAGCTCCTGGGTTCTTGACTGCATGTGGGTGTGTGTGGGAAGACAGAGGGTGTGGGCTGAGATTTCTGGCCACTGAGGAACTGTGGCCTTAACCTACAGATACCTTTTTTCCTTCCATTTTTATTTAGAACAGTCAATCCCAGGAAATCTGCTCTCCACTGGAGCAGTCTTCATGGAGGTTTGCTGGGTGGGGAACTTCCTTATCTGTTTCTCAACCGGAAAAGCTGTAGGTGGAGGTGAATGTGTATGTGCGTGTGGTGGTGGTGGGGATAGACTTCATGTGATTTCAAAGGGGTGGGGTCTGTTCGTGTGTGCGCGCATGGGTGTGTGTGTGTCAGGGGAGATGAGATAGAGGGCTGTTCCTAGCTGCCTCCTGTGCTGTGGGCAGGTGGAGGTGTGGCTGGGCGTGAGCTGTGAAGTATAAAGCCAGCAAAAGTGGATTTCTCAGGGTGGAAATAAGAATCTTTGACTCTGGAAAGCCTGGCTCGCCTGCAAACTGCATTCTCAGCAGAGGGCCGGGCAGGATGCTGCCACAGACCCAGGGATCTTGCCCTTCTATCTTGCCCATCAGTGAAGGGTAGGGACAGCACCTATATCGTGGGGAGCATTAGTGTAATGTGTCTCTTTGTGTGGGCAGCATGTCTGTGTGTGTGTGTGTGTAGGTGATTAGGTGAGTAGGCATGTGCAGGGAGGGCTCTGTTCCTGATACCGCTAATGGTTCAGTTCCGGGCCTTTCATATCCTTGGGAGACAGATCTCTTTTCCTCCCTGCCCCAGAATCAAATGGTCCCAATTCTGTAGAGAAATGAGAACTAGAGTTCATCTGATTCGGACTGTGCCCAACCTCTGGCAGAGAGGCAGAGAGGACCAACAGAGTCCCAGGGTTGGAAGGGGAAGGAGGGATTTCCTTCCTACCCTCCGAGGTGCTAGGGTCAAGGAAAAGGGGGGAGGATCAGAGAAGGAGCTGCTGCTGGAGAGCGATAAGCAGAGGCTGAAAGGTCCATTTTCTTTTTTCGTGGGGCTGGGTTAGGTGGGGAGGATCATTAAGCCTAACCTCCCACTGAGGGCAGGGATCCCAGCCCTTTCGGCTCCACCTGTGTGCGAGCCTGGAAAACGACCGGACTGGCGGACCCAGGATCAGCGCTGCCAAGAAATCCATTCCTGGTTTTTGCACACACCAGCCCGTCTGCTCCGGACGGCCGCGGTGTCGAGTCCGGAGCTGACGCCCTCGAGCCGCCAGCAAGCGGAAAACCCGGAATGGATCTCCAAGCCCTTTGGAAGGGAGCCAAAGGGCGCCTCGGAGGAGGTGGCCGGTTCTGCAGCCCTGCCGCGTACGAGGCCGTGGCCATCCGGGACGCACTGGCCGGGGGTGGAGTCGCGCAGCGGAGCTGGACCCGCTGTCCGGACGAGCCCGGCCGTGGGGCTCGGCGGCCTTCCCCGCGGGGGCTGCGGGCGGGCGGGGTGCGGGCGACGGCCGTGCCCTCGGGGCGGCTCAGGGCGGTGGCGGGCGCGGGTGCAGTTCGGCGCGCGGCCCGCAGCGGGCGCAGGCAGCGGCGGTGGCCGCGGCGTTCGGCGGCTGGCGGGCGGCGCCGGCGGGACCCCGGGCGCGCTCACACACGCGCTCACACACACACATACACACGGCCTCGTACACACTCACACACGCTCCGGCGCGCACACGCGGCGCGCAGGCCGGAGGGAGGAGGCTCGGCGCGGCTCAGCGGCGGCGGCAGCGTGCTCCGCGGGCGGGCGGGAGGGCTGGCGGGCGGCCCCCGCTCCCCGGCTCCGCGGCTCGGTTCAGCCCGCTCGGCCCCCGCCCTCGGACCCGCCCCCGGGGGTCGCCCGGCCCCATGCCCAGCGGCGGCGGCGGAGCAGCACGCGGCCGCGGGCGGCTCTGAGGAGCCCGGAGGGAACCGGCTACGAGGGGACCATGTACCGGGACCCGGAGGCGGCCAGCCCAGGTAAGCGCGGCCCCGGCGGGCTGGTGCGCCCCGCACTGGCGGACAGAACGACGGCAGCGCCGGACGCCGTCTCGGAGCCCCAGCCTGGGGCTGCTGTCCGCCCGGAGCCGCGCGGGCTCCCCCCGGGGTCATCCCAGCCCCGGCGGCGCGGGCTCCAGCGACAGCGGCTGGGACCCCGGTCCCCTGCAGTCCGGACACTGCCGAGCTGGATGTCCGGGGCCGGCTTCGCAGTGTCCCCACAAGGACCTCCCCCCCACACCCCAGCAACCCAAGGACAACCTGTGTGGCGGAGCAAGGAGCCGCTGCCCCCGTGGGAGCCGGGCAGTGCCCTCAGAGGCACCCGCGGCTCCCCAGCACCGGTGCCCCGGGGGTGCCAGCGCTGGTGGACCCCAGGGCGAGGATCCTGGCAGCTCTTGGCCAAGGTGTGGGCACAGGGGAGCAAAGTGGCATCGTGGTGCCAACTGTGAATTGAAAGGATGCCAGGGGGCAAGTGGGAATCTGGTGCACCCGGGCAGGGAGGCTCTGGGGGGTGGGGAACCGCAGGGGCGTTGATGGGGGAGATGGGGGTGCCTGAAGGGAAAGAGAGCAGGGACTCATGAGAATGGGGGTGCCAGGAGAATATTCTCCTAGGCTTGGGGAGGGGGAAGCAAACAACCCCAAACTCTCTCCTGTCCTGGGGGGAGGGCCGGACTCCTTTGCTTTCTGCTTCGCCCGCCAGGGGAGTGGCCTGGGAGCCCACTGTCTGCTTGGTATTCTCCAAGCCAAAGCTGAGGAATCTTCCCGTCTTCCTCGGAAATTGCTCTGCCATTTCCTCCTTGGCTCCTGATGCCTCCTCATCCAGTGCCCACCTGTAGGCAGGTCCCCTGCAGCTCCTGCCCAGGCTCCATCCCCGCTCCCACATGGGGTGCTCCACCCAGACCCAGCACCCCACTTTGCCAATTCTGGCATCAGGGTCTCTGTTTCTGGGCTTCTCTCTGATGCTAAAAGCACCACTCCCCAGCCCAGGATGCACTCCCAAATGAAGAGCCTCCAGGCTCCCTGCTGCCAGCCTCCTGGGGGCAGGGGTGCTGTGGGGAAGGAACAGCTCTGGGACCCTGCACAGAAGGCCCCTGAAGGCAGTCCAGTGGATGCTGGCTTTGCCCACTCTTGCCCCAGCCCCATATTTGCTCTTTCCCCTCTAGGGGCAGCCTCAGCCTGTCCCTGCCTCCTGAGGAATCAGCTTCCACCCCCAACAGTTCTTTTCAGCCCAGTCGATATTGAGGATGACCTACTGGGCGCCAGACTTTGCCCTCACTCAGCACTTGGGTATGAGGGTGAGAGATTCAGCCTCCTTCTCTGGAACATTGCGCCCTTCTCTGAATGTCCTCTAGGTGAGGGCTGAAGGGGCATTGCCTGTGGAGAGTCCTCCCCTCATCTGTCTGGACCCAGGTCACCTACCCTGGCATCTTCCTCCAAGAGGTCGCCAGCTTCCAGCACATGGCCCACGGCAGGGGCATTCTCTTGCTCAGCTCACCTTCTCAGAAGCCAGTAGCTTAGTTCAGAAGCCAGCTCTGGGGCATGAGGATGGAAGGTGGGGATGCAGTAAGGACACTCCCTGTCCCCTGCCCCACCAGGCTGGCAGCCTCCCCTCTGTGCTGTTAGGCCGCTGGCCTGGGGGCTGTACCCTCATCCCCTCTTCCTTTCTCCTCTTCCCTCCCACACCTTGGCACCATGACATCACCACTCCTCCAAGCACCTCTGCCCTCACCACGGAGGCCAACTTGATGTGTTTGGCATCTTCTGGGCAAAGGGTCTGGAATCCAGTGCCACCCCTGGCATGCTGGCAGCCCCCAACAACTCTTCTCTCACCCCTCTGTGAATGGGCCTCCCTGGCTGCGGCTGGGACCTGTCTTGCTCACCCCAGTCGCAGCTGCAGGACCCACTAGTGCCTGTGGTGGGACAGCTGGGACTGGGAAAGGGGCTGGCCCGAGGCTGGCTCCTCTCCGGTGTGGGCACTGGGCTGGGTGGTGTCAGACGTAGCTGGAGAGGGCAGAGTCTGCCTTTGAGCCTAGTCCTCTGGGGTCCTTGAGGGGTCAGAGACTTCATTCTGGCCTCTGCCCTCTGGCATCCCTGCCCACCTTCGTAGGCCCTATAGTTCCAGGTCAGGTTTCCCTTCCCCTCCAAGGCTCCCCAGACTCAGCTCCCCGAGCCAGGACTCTGTGTCCCCCATTTCTGTCCCCACATCTCCCCTTGATTGGCACCAGTTGGGACTGAGATATGCAAATTGATTTCTGTGTAATTCAGGCTGCCCCTCCCTCCGCTCTGGTCCCCCAGTGGCCGGTGCCTTTTATATCCTGATCCTCTCACCCCACACTCAGGAACACCTGCGGCCCAATCCTTTAAAAAAAAAAAAATCTGTCCTCTTCTGCTTCCCTTTGACCCACGCTGGTTCCAGAGGATCCCTGTGGTCCTCCCTCCCTCATCCCCCTTACTGTGCAGGCCCCCACAGGGCTCAGCTCCTGCTGAGACCTTACCTGGCAGGTACAGTTCCCTCCTCACTTGGGCCCCAGGCCCCCAGGCCCTTGGCTCCCTGATCTATTATGGATGAAGAAAGGGACTGTGGGAAATCATTGGAGTCCAATGAAGAACCCAGACCAGCCCCCACCTATGCACACCCATGGGCTCCAGCTCCACACGGCCCAGCCTCCTGAGGCCATACCTGCAGCCTCCCTTTTGTTCCCTCCTAGACTTCAGGGCCTCTCCCTGCCCTCGACCTTCACCCTGTGGTTCATCATGAAGTCCCTGTGTCTATGGGACTGTTGTCCCCAGGCCAGGCAGGCCCCAGCAGGCCTGCAGGGGTCAGCGTTGCAGTGGGCAGGCAGGCTGGCGGCAGGAAAAGAGAGAGGGAGGGAGAGGTGACCTTGCAGAGTGCTGGTGAGCAAGGCCAGAGAGGGAACCACTGGGACAGAGGGCAGGTCCTGAGGACTACTCCTCTTGCCCCTCAGCCCTCTGGGAGCTTTTCCCTGGGGGTAGCAGTGCTTGAAGGCTTATTTTGTCCCACCTGTTAGTGGGTTCTGCCCCTTACAGACACTCTACCAGACAGGTCATGCCTTGGGGGCATGCGGGACAGAGGGCCTTGGTACAGTAGGCCTCCTCTCTCAAGGCGAAAGGATCGTGGAGATCGTCCAGGCCAACTCTCCACTCACAGGGCACGAGTTAGGGGCAGAGGCTGATGGTGGGTTGGGCAGGTGCAGAAGTTAGAGGTGTGGCTGAAAGGGCAGATCAAGGGTGTGCCCTGAGGACCACTTGGGTTAGAGGCCAGGGCTGGAGTGTGGGAAGGTCCAAGGAGGCCTGACTGTGTCCACCCATTTCACCAACAACATCTCTCCTCCCACTTATCTCCCCGGAGCCTGCCCCATCGGCACATGCCTGGGCCTCCCTGGCCGGCATCCTGGGCTTAGATCAGAGTCCAGACTGAAGAGGAATGATCTCCTCACAGGCCAGGACGCAGTGGGGGACCTGAGGCCAGGCAAGTCTAAAACCCAGAGCGGGTGAGGATGGTTTCTACTGGGCATGGGCCAGGGCAGCCAGTGCCCCCACGCTTTTGTGTTACCATGGAGACAGGCCCCTCCTTGGCCCTGGTTCACACTGTTCTGTGGCCTTGCAGGGACAGCTTGATCGACAAGCTGGCTGCTCGAGGGCTGGGGGATGGTGGGAGGGAGATAGCCCCAAAGTCCCTCCTCGTAGTCGGGAAGGGGTTAGGCTGGATTGAGGTGGGAGCATACAGGTCAGCAGGTGACAGGTGAGGGGACAACTGGAAGGCATAGGTGGGTGCCTGGTGAACAAAGACAGTCCCTGGGCAGCTGGGTTCTGCCCCTGGCTGACCCTAAGCTCAGGCCTAGGGGCATTGAGGGCAACATGGAGTGCCAGTGGGGGCTGTCCCCTTGTTACCCCTGCTAGTCCGGCCATTGCAGGATGTTGTGTGGGACAGGCAGAAGAGCTGTATATGGTTCCCTCCCCCTCCTGCCCCTCCTGAATCCCCCCATTCCACTCCCCACCCACCCTGTATTCTCTCAGGGACTTTGATTCCTTATTGAATCTGATGGACCGTTTTCAATAACTGCTTCCCCCAGGGGAGTGAGGCCAAGAACAGCAGGGAGAGGAGCTGGGTGGGGCCCCATGGGAGTGGGAGGCCCAGTCCTGAGCCGATGACCCCTGGCTGGAGAATGAGTTGGCTTGATGGCTCCTCAGAGCACTGTGGCATCCCAGGTGGGCATAGGCAGCTCTGCATGGAGCTGATCCTCTTCTCCACGGACAGTGCCTGGCAGGTGGCATATGTGGCCAAGAGGTCAACTTTCTCCTGTCGGGGCAGTCACTGGCCTGGCCAGGTGCCGGCGCCAGCCTGTGCCAGGCCCAGCCCGGGTGCCTGCCTGCCTTGCCAGGGAACCCCAGCTGGTGATGCCAAGCAAATTCTGCCAGTTCCATGGGCATGGAGGTCCCTGACCTCCCAGGCAGCAGGGCAGCCCTGCTGGGCCCTGTCCAACTAGTATCTGGAGGGCAGGGCTTTGGTCTCACCCAGCACAATTCCCCAAGGGCTGGAACAGAGTTGGCAGACAGCATGGGACCTGTGGAAGGGGCTGGACTGTGCCCAGAGCTTGTGCCTGAAATTCCAGGTCCAGTTGGTTGGAAGGTGGGCAGGCGCATTCGGCCTGCTCTGGGGGTCTCTGCAGCCTCCACCTGGAAGGACCCCTTGGGAGAGAATGAACCAGGAGCTGGCTGGTATTGTGAGCTGGAACCCCTGCAAAACTGCATGTTTAGGGAGTTGGTATCTTCATGAGATTGAGCCCACGGCTGGAAGGGGAGGGCGGAGCCGGGAGAAGTGCTGTCTGTGTGTGTACCTAGTGCGTGTGCGGGCGGCAGCTGGATGGCCGTAATCTCTGTGCTCATCTGAGTGCCAGGACCGCTGTAAACAGCAGCTAATGAGTGTATTTGTAGCAAGGTGGGTTCAGGAGCATGGGGAG